GGAAATAGCTGAGGTGTATTTGGAAAGTCAAAGGGTCAAACACTAGGAAACATCCCCTGTGACGCGTGCCTGTAATCCCAGCACTCTGGGAGGCCGGGGCGGGCAGATCACATGAGGTCAGGAGTCCAAGGCCAGCTTGGCTGATGTGGTGAAACCCCACCTCTACCCAAAAAATACAAAGGTTAGCCAGGTGTCGTGGTGCACACCTGTAGTCCCAGCTACTCAGGAGGCTGTGGCAGGAGAATCGCTTGAACCCGGGAGGTGGAGGTTGCAGTGAGCCGAGATCGTGCGACTGCACTCCAGCCTGGGTGTCTCAAAAAAACAAAAAACAGAACAGAACAGAAACCCTAGGACACAGCAGCCCGTCTGGAGGGTGACTGCACATTCCCAGCTCTTTGCCTAACAGGAGCCTGTCCTTTCCCAGCACCGCGGTGCCCTCTAGGGGCGCGATGCGGCAGCACAGGGCTGAGCTCCCACCCCGCAGGCCCGGGGGCCGCCTTGCGCTGCTGAGCTGTGGACATGCAAAATTCCAAACTCAGGAGCCAAAGCTGGTCTTCCCGCCGGGCATGGTGGCTCACGCCTGTAATCCAAGCACTTTAGAGGCCAAGGCAGATGGATCAGCTGAGGTTGGGAGTTCAAGACCAGTCGGGAGTTCAAGACCAGCCTGACCAACACGGGGAAACCCCCATCTTTATATATATATAAAAAAAAAAAAAAAAAAAAAAAGCTGGTCTTCCGTCAGGCCCCAGACCCATGACGTTTCACGTTGGAAGGAACCCCAGAGACTCACCCAATGCCCACCGTTTTCACATACACAAAACCAAAAGCAGCCGGGCACAGTGGTTCACACCTGCAATCCTAGCACTTCGGGAGGCTGAGGCAGGAGGATCCCCTGAGGCCAGGAGCTGGAGACCAGCACGGTCAACATGGTGAAACCCTGTTTCTTTTTTTTTTTTTTTTTTTTTTTTTTTTGAGACGGAGTTTCGCTCTTGTTACCCAGGCTGGAGTGCAATGGCGCGATCTCGGCTCACCGCAACCTCTGCCTCCTGGGTTCAGGCAATTCTCCTGTCTCAGCCTCCTGAGTAGCTGGGATTACAGGCATGCGCCACCATGTCCAGCTAGTTTTTTGTATTTTTAGTAGAGACGGGGTTTCACCATTGTTGACCAGGACGGTCTCGATCTCTTGACCTCGTGATCCACCCGCCTCGGCCTCCCAAAGTGCTGGGATTACAGGCTTGAGCCACCGCGCCTGGCCAACCCTGTTTCTACTAAAAACACAAAAATCCGGGCCGCGCATGATGGCTCACACTTGAAATCCCAGTGCTTTGGGAGGCCAAGGCAGGCAGATAACCTCAGGTCAGGAGTTTGAGACCAGCCTGGCCATTATGGTGAAACCCCATCTCTACTAAAAATACAAAAATAAGCCAGGCGTGGTAGAGGGCACCTGTAATGCCAGCTACTCGGGAGGCTGAGGCAGGAGAATCGCCTGAACCCAGGAGGTGGAGGCTGCAGTGAGCAGAGATCGTGCCGTTGCACTCCAGCCTGGGCGACAGACCAAGACTTTGTCTGAAGATAAATAAATAAATAAATAAATAAATAAAACAAAATATGTAAATAAGTAAATAAAAAGTTTTAGCGTATGTTCATTTGTCCAAGGCCACAGGGGATGGGCAGTAACAGGCTTTTCCCACTGAATCTGTTCCTTAGCACGTGGTAAAACTTTTCTGCTTGGTTTTCTTTTACAAAGCAAGCAAGGCAGAGAGAAGCACTTTTGGTGAGCGTGGGATATAAGAACTCTCTGACAAAAAGAAAATCCAGCATTGATGTGAGCCCCTTCGCACACTGGCTTTCCTCAGCCTCTTTTTTCTAGAAGTTTCTGTCCTAGTGGCTCCTGACCTCCCACCCCATATTTAAATTCCATCCATATACTGGGTATCTGCGTATTCATCTGGGGCTCTTTGGAGATCCCCCAAACCCTTGTGAAAATGAACACTTTCTTGGCTGGGTGCAGTGGCTCCTGCCTGGAATCCCAGCACCTTAGGAGGGTGAGGCAGGAGGATCACTTGGCGGGGAAGGGGAGTCTGAGACAAACCTGAGTGACAGAGCGAGACCCTGTCTCTACAAAAAAAAATTAAAATTTTTTGAGTCTGTATAAGACAGGGATCAGCAAACCGCAGCCTCCTGGGCTGGCTTCCTGTTTTTGTAAAGAAAGTTTTTTTTTTTTTTTTTTTTTCTGATACGGAGTTTGGCTCTTGTTACCCAGGCTGGAGTGCAATGGCGCGATCTCGGCTCACCGCAACCTCCATCTCCTGCGTTCAGGCAATTCTCCTGCCTCAGCCTCCTGAGTAGCTGGGATTACAGGCACACGCCACTATGCCCAGCTAATTTTTTGTATTTTTAGTAGAGACGGGGTTTCACCCTGTTGACCAGGATGGTCTCGATCTCCTGACCTCATGATCCACCCGCCTCGGCCTCCCAAAGTGCTGGGATTACAGGCTTGAGCCACCACGCCCGGCGAAAGTTTTTTTTTTTTTTTTGAGAGGAAGTCTCACTCTGTCACCCAGGCTGGAGTGCAGTGGTGCAATCTCGGCTCACTGCAACCTCCGCCTCCCGGGTTCAAGCGATTCTTCTGCCTCAGCCTCCCGAGTAGCTGGGATTATAGGCGCCCGATACCACGCCCAGCTAATTTTTGTATTTTTAGTAGAAATGGGGTTTCACCATGTTGGTAAGGCTGGTCTCGAACTCCTGACCTCATGATCCGCCCGCCTCGGCCTCCCAAAGTGCAGGGATTACAGGCAAGAGCTACAGCGCCCAGCCACTTTTTTGTATTTTCAGTGGAGATCCGCCTGCCTCGGCCTCCCAAAGTGCTGGGATGACAAGTGTGAACCACCACCCCTGGCCTGCAAAAAACAAAAAAAATAATAAAGAAAATGAGCTGGGCATGGTAATGTAGCTGTGGTCCCAGCTACTCAGGAGGTTGAGGGGGGAGGATCTTGTGAGCCTGGGAGGTTGAGGCTGCAGTGAGCTATGATCACACCACTGCACTCCCGCCTGGGCCACAGAGCAAGACCTTGTCTCAAGAAAAAAAAAAAAAAAAAAAAAGATTTTCTCAGCCCCAAGACCTGAGGCTCACCCCTGGGGGGACAGGGCACCCTGTTAACTCTGGCAAGAAAAGAGAAGTGAGCAGCGGCCGGGGGCACCGTAACGACACCATTTATTCTGATGTGTGCATCTGGAGTTCTATTCCGGACCTGGCTAGGGAGGGTGGTCTCTGGGGGGGATGGGCCAGGGACGGTCCCTGCTCCCCGCCGAGCCCACCTGGGAAGCTGTGTGGCCAGGCTGCTGGGGCCACCCGAGCCCTGGGGAGACAGGAGTGCTGGCGTTCAGGCTTCATCGCGCAGCTGCAAGGAGACCCATTCCGTCCAGTGGCTCCTTGTTTCGTGGAATCCTGCAAGGGCTCCACTGGGGGGTCCCTCTCCTGCAGGCTCCGAGAGCTGGACCCCGGTGATTTCCGGAAGGATGGAGGACAGGTTCTGGGACCTTCAGGCTTCGGCGGTGACAGCAAGTTAATTGCACTTGTTGGATTTTCTGGCAGAAGCCAGGAGAGACGGGGATGGTGTCTTTCTCTTTGGTGACCATCCCAGGCACCCAGAGGTGACCAGACTTCCGTGTGGCCTGGGACAACGCAGGGCTCAGGCGGGAAGGGCCACCGAGGTCAAAGGCCACTGATGATTCTGGTGAGGAGTGGGGCGGCAGGGACGCAGCCGGGGAGAGGAGGTGGCTTCCTTGCTTCACGCCCCGGTCTCACCTTCCAAGGGTCTAGGGGACATGAAGCTCGTGGAGTTTTCTTCCGTAGCCCTTGGGGTCACACAGAAAAAGGAGCGCAGCTAGAAGTCTGCAGTATCTGGGAAAGGCCAACTCCGGGGAGAGGCGCCCGGCCTGGGTTGGTCATAGGGAGAGGGGACGTTCTCAATAGGCAGACGGCCAGGCACAGTGGCCCATGCCTGGCATCCCAGCACTTTCAGAGGCCTAGGTGGGCTGGTCACTGGAGATCAGGAGTTCCAGACCAGCCTGGCCAACATGGTGAAACCCGTCTGTACTAAAAATACAAAAAATGAGCAGGGCATGGCGGGCACCTGTAGTCCCAGCTACTCGGGAGGCTGAGGCAGGAGAATCACCTGAACCCAGGAGGCGGAGGTGGCAGCGAGCGGAGATCACGGCACTGCACTCCAGCCTGGGGACACAGCAAGACTCCGTCTCAAAGAAAAGAAATCTCAAGATGATTGTAAATCTGTAAATGTGACTATAAAATCAGACCTTTTATGACACACCAAGGGGCTCTTTGGAAATGCGTCAGCAGCGGGGTGCAGGCCCCGCGTCCCAGGAGGCCAGGCAGCCCTGGATCCGGTGCGCTGTGCGTTTCAGAACTGAGGGAGCAGAGTGCACTGAGGATGAGGCAGGGCCGGGCGCGGTGGCTCCCGCCTGTGATCCCAGCACTTCGGGAGGCCAAGGACGGAGGACCGCATGAGGCCAGGAGTTCAAGAGCAGCCTGGGCAACACAGTGAGACCCCTGTTTCTTTTATGTTAAAAAAAAAAAAAAATCTGTTTAAAAAAAAAAGCAAAAAGACTGGGGAGGGAGGACAGGATGCCGGGACCAGATTGTCCCACTGTGTGAAGCAGACACCAGAGGCTGCCGGCAGCGGGGTAAAGGCCTGGGGTAGGAGACTTTTGTCCGCAGCCGGCAGGACGCCCCTCAGCCTCTTGCCTCCCCAACGGGAGACGTTAGGAGGCCGAGCAAGCTGGGTGCCCTTGAGAGGCGGCCCACCCAGGGCTGTGGCTGCAGCAGCCCCAGGCACTCCCCAGCGAGGTGGAGGCAGCATTGGATGGGGCCTAGGGTTGGGGTGGAAATTCTGGGAGGTGGGAGTCACCCAGGGCGGGGAGTGAGCCTGGAAGCCGGCCCGCCTGCCGGGAAGTGGAAGTGGTTTAAAAACACAGTGGGCTTTTCCGGTTGCTAGTAACACACAGAATTATAGAGTTCAAGTTCAGTCCCAGACGGGAGACTGAGGCTCGAGATGGTGAGGAAGCCGTCTGCCATCTGGGGCTGGGGCTCCTGACGACCCACACCCGCTCAGCGGCCCAGCCCCTGGGCTCCCGAGATGCTCAGGCCGGAGAGCAAGGTGACGGTGGTTCAGGAGCATCCTCCTCCATGTCTCCAAGGCCCCAGAGGGGGTTCGGGCGCCAGGGGGCCTGTGGGGCTCTTAGTGGCACATCCGGGCAGTCATTTCTTTCTGTTAAGAGCAAGCAGGACATCAGCTACCACCAGCCATTCCCGAAAGGGTGACGCGGACAGCAAACACAGGAGATGCACAGGAGAGGTGGCAGCTGGGGGCGTCCCTGAACCCCCAAACACCACACACCAGATGGGCGATGGCACGCCTGAGACAAGGGACAGGAGACTACCCCGTGGGGCCAGAGTCAGCACCTGCAGATCTGTGGGCCAGACGCTTCCTGTCGTGATGGCTCAACTCTCTCTTTTTTTATTTTTCCGAGATGGAGTCTTGCTCTGTCACTTAGGCTGGACTGCAGTGGTGCGATCTTGGCTCACTGCAACCTCTGCCTCCAGGTTCAAGGGATTCTCTTGCCTCAGCCTCCCGAGTTAGCTGTGATTACAGGCACCTGACACCATTCCTGGCTACTTTTTGTATTTTTAGTAGAGGCAGGTTTCCCCATGTTGGCCAGGCTGGTCTTGAACTCCTGACTTCGTGATCCACCTGCCCCGGCCTTCCAAAGTGCTGGGATTGCAGGCGTGAGACACAATGCCTGGCCTTAATCTTTTTTTTTTTTTTTTTTTTTTTTTGAGACAGGCTACTGACACTTACCCGGGCTGGACTGCAGTGGCATGATCTTGGCTTACTGCAGCCTTGACCTCCCAGGCTCAAGGGATTCTCCTGTCTCAGCCCCCTGAGTAGCTGGGACCACAGGCACGTACCACTGTGCCTAATTTTTTTTTTTTTTTTTTAGAGATGAGGTCTCACTAAGTTGCCCAGGCTGGTCTCAAACTTCTGAGCTCAAGCGATGCTCCTTCTTTGGCCTCCTGAAGGGCTGGGATTACATGTGGGAACCACCTCGTCTGGCCATTTTTAGCCATTTTTTAAAGCTTTAAGAGAGCAGTGGCTCTCACCTGCAATCTTTGGGAGGCCAAGGCAGGAGGACTGCTTACTTTCCTGAGTGTGAGACCAGCCTAGACATTGTAGTGAGAGCCCATCTCTACATACAAGAAGAAATCAGCTGGGCATGGCAGGGTGCACCTGTGGTCCCAGCTACTCGGAGGCTGGTGGGGTCCTGCTCTCACATCAGGGTCCCCACAGCCACACAGCGCCCGGCAGCCTGGGGAGCAATGCAGCCCCCAGAGGGTTCCCGTGCCAGGCCCTGAATCACTGGCACCCACTCCACTGCTGGCCCCATCACCCAGTCACAAATTTGGGCCCACGCCCCCACCAATCTCAGGAAGTGACATTGGCTTCAGTGGCGTGGACCCCACACTGAGGAATCTGGTCCCTGGGTTGGTCTCCTGATAAAACCCGGTCAGGTGGAAAGCAGTTAGGCAAGGGCAGGCGCGGTGGCTCACACCTGTATCCCAGAACTTTGGGAGGCTGAGGCAGGCGGATCCCTTGAGCTCAGGAGTTCGAGACCAGCCTGGCCAACATGATGAAACCCCATCTCTACTAAAAATACAAAAGTTAGCCAGGTGTCGTGGCGGGCACCTGTAGTACCAGGTCCTGGGGAGGCTGAGGCAGGAGAATGGCTTGAACCTGGGAGGCGGAGGTTGCACCATCACACCCTTCGATAAGGGACACTGTGCGGCGTTCAGGACACCTGACCTCAGGACTGTGAAGGAGGAACGAGCTGGAGGTGGGGTCGGCACTGAGCTGGGGGGAACCTGCACCTGTTGTCCAGATTTAGGAGAACGCAGGGTCCCTCCCGGCTACCTCACCACCTGTCCCATCAGCAGGGAGAGATCGGGTCACTCGCTGCTGGGCCGACTACGGGCAGTCAGGCGTTCTGGCCCCGGAAGGGTTCCTCTGTCACCGGCCTCCACGGTAACCCCACGCACCTGCCGTATCCCTGCGCCGTGGAGCCCTAAGCCCCCACTGTAATCCCACACTCCCGCCGCAACCCCGCGCCCTGGAGCCCCAAACCCCCACTGTAATCCCACGTCCCCCCGCTGTAACCCCGCGCCCTGGAGCCCCAAGCCCCCACTGTAATCCCACGCCCCCACCATAACCCCGCGCCATGAAGCCCCAAGCCCCTACTGTAATCCCATGCCCCCACTGTAATCCCACGCCCCCACCATAACCCCGCGCCCTGGAGCCCCAAGCCCCCACTGTAATCCCACGGCCCCGCCGTAACCCCTCGCCCCCACAGTAACCCCGCGCCATGAACCCCCAAGCCCCCACTGTAATCCCACGCCCCCGCCGTAACCCCGCGCCCTGGAGCCCTAAGCCCCCACTGTAATCCCACGGCCCCACCGTAACCCCGCGCCATGAAGCCCCAAGCCCCCACTGTAATCCCACGCCCCCGCCGTGACCCCGCGCCCTGGAGCCCCAAGCTCACACACCAGTGGCTCCAGCTCCTTGGTGTCGATGAGGCCGAACTCCTTGACGAAGTAGTAGAAGTGCTTGTAGCAGGTGTTCACGTGGGCCTCGGAGCCCATCTGTGCGATGCGGTCGAAGTGGTGGATGTAGACGTGCACGAACACGCGGAACAACCGCGACAGGATCTTCCGCACCGTCTGCAGAAAGTTCTTGGGGAAGGGTGTGCCTGCGGGGAGAGGGATGGGGCGGGGCCACCGAATCAGCCAAGCCACATCCAGAAGGCCCTGCTCATGGATGTGACCAGGGGCTTCCAGGCAGAAATCTATGGTGGACCAGGCACACTGGCTCACGCCTGTGATCCCAGCACTTTGGGAGGCCGAGGCAGGAGGATCACTTGAGGTCAGGAGTTTGAGACCAGCCTGGCCAACATGGTGAAACCGCATCTCTACTAAAAATACAAAAATCAGCCGGGCCTGATGGCACGAACCTGTAATCCCAGCTACTCGGGAGGCGGAGGCAGGAGAATCGCTTGGACCCAGGAGGCAGAGGTTGCAGTGAGCCATGGTCGTACCACTGCACTCCAGCCTGGGCAACAGAGTGAGACTCTGTCTCAAAAAAAAAAAGAAAAAAATAAAAGAAAGGTATGCGGTCCTCCAGAGAGACACACCCAAATGATCATCCACAAACCCGCGTGGACGGGGTATCCCTGAGAGCTACGCACTGCATTACACATGGAGCGGGGGCAGGAGGTCCCTCCCAGGGGGCAATGATCCTGGTGGGCCCGGGGCTCCACAGCAGTGATTCTGAAGCCACCGAGAACGCTGGGCCAGCGCTAGCAAGGGTGCTTGTCCCTGCACCAGACCCACGAGGGCCTCCAGGCCCCATGCCGACCCCGCCCTTCTCTGCTTTGCAGTAAGGGAGACAGGTGTCACCAGGAGCGATCAGGATGAAGGGTGCCTACAGGCAGTAGTGTAATTAGCGGAAGACAGAGACATGGAATCTTTTTTTTTTTTTTGAGACAGGGTCTTGCTCTGTCACCCAGGCTGGAGTGCGGTGGTGTGAGCAGTTTACTGCAGCCTCAACCTCCTAGCCTCAAGCGATCCTCCCGCCTTAGCCTCCCGAGTAGCTGCCATCACAGGCGTGCGCCACCACGCCTGGCTAATTTAAAAAAATTTTTTTTGAGATGGATTCTCTCTCTGTAGCCCAGGCTGGAGTGCAGTGGCATGATCTCGGCTCACTGCTACCTCCGCCTCCTGGGTCCCTGTTCAAGCAATTCTCCTACTGCAGCCTCCCAAGTAGCTGGAATTACAGGCACGAGACACCGTGCCCAGCTATTTTTGTATTTTTTTAGTAGAGATGGGGTTTCACCATGTTGGCCAGTCTGATCTTGAACTCCTGACCTCGTGATCCACCTGCCTCGGCCTCCCAAAGTGCTGGGATCACAGGTGTGAGCCACCGAGCCAGGCCAAATTTTTTTTGTTTTTTTGAGACAGAGTTTCACTCTTGTTGCCCAGGCTGGAGTGCAATGGCGCGATCTCGGCTCACCGCATCCTCCGCCTCCTGGGTTCAGGCAACTCTCCTGCCTCAGCCTCCCGAGTAGCTGGGATTACAGGCACGCGCCACCATGCCCAGCTAATTTTTGTATTTTTAGTAGAGACGGGGTTTCACCATGTTGACCAGGATGGTCTCGATCTCTTGACCTCGTGATTCACCCGCCTCGGCCTCCCAAAGGCCTCCCAAAGTGCTGGGATCACAGGCATGAGCCACCGCGCCCGGTAAAATTTTTTAAAGAGATGGGATCTTGCTTTGTTGCCCAGGCTGAGCTCAAACTCCTGGGCTCAAGCAAACCCTGGGCTCGGCCTCCCAAAGCGCTGGCATTATGGGCGTGAGCCACTGTGCTCGCCCTCCCCGACTTTTCCGGAAGGCTCTGCACCCCCGAGCCCCGGCCGCCCGCGACTCACCGACGTTGGTGGGGAAGAGGTCCTCGTTGTTGATCTGCGCCTCGATCCAGTCCATCAGCAGGTCCATGTACCGGGGCGCGGAGAGCGCCGTGGGCTTCCGGAACTTGTGCTCGTCCTGCCAGCGGTACTCGTACTTGGGGCCCCCCGACATGACGGGGCAGGACTGCTCCGTGCAGCCGTCGCTGATGGTGCCGTAGATGAGGTTGACGCGGTTGAAGAAGTCCACCACGTGCACGGCCACCCAGTCGTGGAGGTCCTCGCCCGGGGGCAGCTGCACGGCCAGCCGCAGGTCCAGCCCCGCGTTGAGCGACGCCTGCGCCTTCTTGTGCAGCTCGAAGCGCTGTGTGCCCGGCTCGAACTTGCGCTTGGGGCGGAACGTCTTGTCCTTGTTGAAGACTTGCTTCAGGAAAGGGTTGGACATCTTGGTGACTGATGCCTGCTGTCCTGGAACGCTTCTGCAGAGGGGTCCTGGGCCGGCTGGATGGGGACGTGGACCAACCCGGGAGGACACCAAACACCACGCCCCACGGCTCTCTCCGTGGACCTGAAATACACAGGGAGTCAGGACCTGCCGGAGGCAACAGAGTTTCCCGGAAACGTGCTGGGGGCACAAGCGACAGGATGTGTCTTTTGTTTTGTTTTGTGTTTTGAGACAGAGTCTCGCTCTGTTGCCCCAGCTGGAGTGCAGTGGTGCGATCACGGTTCACTGAAACCTCCGCCGCCCAGGCCCGAGCGATCCTCCCACCTCAGCCTTCTGAGTAGCTGGGACTACAGGCACACACTGCCACACCTGGTTAATTTTCTTTAGTTTTAGTAGAAACGGGGTCTCGCTATGTTGCCCAGGCTGGCCTCCAACTCCTGGGTTCAAGTGATCCTCCTACCTCTGCCTCCCAAAGTGCTGGGCTTACAAGTGTGAGCCACTGCACCCAGCCACAGTTGGCAGGGTTCAAAACATCCCCTGGACTGTTGACTTTTAAGGAGTTTCACCCAAAGGGGGCCACCTCCTCAGTGGACAGACCGGAAATGCACATGGCAAGGCCTGACTGCCTCCCAGCGGAAGGTGCGGATGGCCGGGCCCCGAGAGCCCGCAGGCGCCACATCCTCCAAGTGCCTGATCTGGGCCTGGACTCCTCCCCGGCGCTCCAGGGCTTCAGTGGGGGGGGGGCAGGCTAAAACGCAAGTTACAGGGGACTGCGTGGGCCGAACTGCAGCCGCCACAAAGGAAGCCATGCCCAGTGCCCGTAGCCTGTGTGTGGGAGCCTGGGTGAAACAGGGTCTTGAGGGGATGCCATCCTGAGTATGTGGGTGGGCCCTATGGTCAGTGACAAACGTCCTCATGAGCGAGGTGGATACGGGGAGACGGCCTCGTGGGCCAAATGTGGCCCAGGACGCCGGCCACCACCAGGAGCCACGAGGGGCCTGGCAGACTCCCCTCGGCCTCAGAGGGACCCAGCCCTGCCCATGCCCTGGTCAGGGAGGTGTGGCCCCAGAACTGAGAGGGAACCTGTCACGTTGGTGTTCTCCCCATGTCACTGTGCCCGTCACTGGTCACTGGGTCAGGGACCCCTGTGGTGTGAGCCCTCTTCACTTGGTTACATCTGCAAAGACCCCCTTCCATGTTGGGTCACATGGTGAGGTGCCAGGTGATTCTGGGGGGTGCTGTCCAGCCCAGGGTACCATATGAATGAGGAAACCTCCAGGAGCAGGCCCACATCTCGTGCACGCGAGTGGTGACTTGTGAGACGCCTGCAGGTTGCTCTGGGGCGGGGGCCCTGGTGTCCCCCTACTCCCCTAAGAATCCTCAGGGGACAGGGACTGAGTTCATCCATCACAGGGCACAGGGACAACCTGGATCACACACTGTGCCTGTGCCGGGCTCACGCTCACCACGCAGGGCCTGTCACCGCCAACAATGACTGTTATTGTCACTGCCAGGACACCAGCACCGTGCCAGGCCCAGCGTGGATGCAGACCCCATCCTGCTCTGCTGGGTGCCCCTCCTGGACGGGCAGACTTGACTATGACACTCGGGGCCAGGCCCACGCAGGGCGCTGAGTAAGGCGGGGGTCCCAACCCCAGCACAAAGAGGACCCAGACGAAGGGGGAGTCAGAGAGGGGAGGGGGAGGGAGCCCACGCCCGCCCAGGCCCACTGGGCTCCACGCAACCCTCACAAGAAATACACACACATTCTTCACTCTCCAGTAAATCCCAACCCCCAGCACTTTTTTTCTTTTTGAGACAGAGTCTCACTCTTGTACCCAGGCTGGAGTGCAAGGGTGCGATCTTGGCTCACTGCAGCCTCCACCTCCCAGGTTCAAGCGATTCTCCTGCCTCAGCCTCTTGAGTAGCTGGGATTACAGGCACTCACCACCACACCCGGTTAATTATTTTTGTATCTTTTTTTTTTTTTTTGAGATGGAGTTTTCGCTCTTGTCACCCAGGCTGGAGTGCAACGGCGCGGTCTCAGCTCACCGCAACCTCCACATCCTGAGTTCAGGCAATTCTCCTGCCTCAGCCTCCTGAGTAGCTGGGATTACAGGCACGCGCCACCATGCCCAGCTAATTTTTTGTATTTTTAGTAGAGACGGGGTTTCACCATGTTGACCAGGATGGTCTCGATCTCTTGACCTCATGATCCACCCACCTCGGCCTCCAAAGTGCTGGGATTATAAGTGTGAGCCACCGCGCCCAGTTGTGTCCAGGCATTTGAGGCCAGCCTGAGCAACACGGCGAGACCTAGACTCTACAAAAATACTTAAAACTTAGCTGGGTGTAGCGCCCATGACTGTAATCCCAGAACTGAGGTGGGAGGATGGTCTGAGCCCAGGAGTTTGAGGCTGCAGTGAGCCACGTTCACACCACTGCACTCCACCCTGGCCAACAGAGTAAGACCTTGTCTCAAAAAATAAAAAATAAAAATAAGGGCCAGGCGCGGTGGCTCACGCCTGTAATCCCAGCACTTTGGGAGGCCGAGGCGGGTGGATCACGAGGTCAAGAGATCGAGACCATCCTGGTCAACATGGTGAAACCCCGTCTCTACCAAAAATACAAAAAAAAATTAGCTGGGCATGGCGGCGCGTGCCTGTAGTCCAAGCTACTCAGGAGACTGAGGCAGGAGAATTGCCTGAACCCGGGAGACGGAGGTTGCGGTGAGCCGAGACTGCGCCATTGCACTCCAGCCTGGGTAACGAGCGAAACTCCGTCTCAAAATAAACAAATAAATAAAAATAAAAATAAGGTGTGAGTAGAGCTAGACTCTTCTGGAGGCCCCAGGGCTTAGGGTCCCCCCACTCTCTACGGGACAGTCCCCACCAGAGAATGATCTGGACCCAGGTGTCCACAGGGCCAGGGGGTCAGGGGAGAGATGCTGCACTGTTTGGAAGAAAAGCACGTGAGAGTCGCAGCTTACACCTGCAATCCCAGCACTTCGGGAGGCTGAGGCTGCGGATCACCTGAGGTCAGGCATTTGAGACCAGCCTGACCAACACGGTGAAACCTCGTCTCTGCTAAAACCACAAAAATTAGTGGGGCATGGTGGCGGGCGCCTGTAAGCCCAGCTACTCAGGAGGCTGAGGCAGGAGAATCGCTTGAACCTGGAGGGCAGAGGTTGCGGTGAGCCGAGATGACGCCACTGCGCTCCAGCCTGGGGGACGGAATGAGACTCCGTCTCAAAAAACAAAGCAAGTTACAGAAGGACCGAAGCTGGGAGATCACTGTGGATGATCGGGGGGCCTGGAGTCCTCACAGGGTCCTCAGGAGAGGAGGGGGGAGGCTGAGTCAGGGAGAGACTGGAAGAGGCTGCGCTGTGGCTGTGACGGGGGAGGAAGGGCCCCCAGCTGAGGGACGAAAGGCGGGAGCCGGATTCTCCCCTGGAGCCCCCAGGAGGCCCAGCCCTGCTCATTCCTCCACCTCAGCCCCTGCCATCTGCTCTAGCCTCCGGCCTCCCGGAGAGCTGTAAGATGATGCATCTGTGTGGTCTGAGGCCACTAAACTTGTGGTAGTGTCAGCAGGAAACTCGCAAAGGAGCCAAGTCCCAGCTCCCGGAACCACACACCCACAGCCTGGTTCCGTGAGGCCGGGACCCTCCAGCATCTGCTGCCCGGGGCCTCCCGCAGACCCTGCCCATCCTTCCAGGACGCCGGTTTCGGAGGGGACCTGAGGCAGCACCGAGAGTGGGACTAGGGAGAGCCCGCCACGGACAACGGGGGGAGGGCGGAGGAAACCCAGAAGCGGGGGCAGGCCCTGTCTCCCCTCAGGAGGACGCACTGTCAAAAAGAGCCGCAGGTGTGAGCCAGGATGTGGAGACGTGGGACCCTCTCCCCCGACGGCGGGAACAGAACATGGGGCGGCCGCCGTGGGTAAGAGCATGCGGATCTTCAAAAGGTTAAACACTGAGTCACCCCGGCAACCCCACCCCAAGGGCTCACCCGAGAGAAAGGGGCACAGACGCCCACAACGTGGAAACCCGTGTCCACAGCAGCGCGATTCACAGGAGCCCAATGAGGAGACAGCCACGTGTCTAGCCACAAGGGAGTGGATCAGCGCTGCGTGCCAGCCACGCACTGGAACACGACCCAGCCACGAACACGAACGGGGCTCAGACACCGGCGCCGCATGGATGCCCCTGGAGGACGTCACGCTCACTCAGCAAGAGACGCCAGACACAAAAGGCCACACAGGGCGTGATCCCATTTTTATGAATTGTCCAGGATATGCCCATCTACGGAGGCAGGGAGGGGATTTGTGGGTGTTGGCGCTGAGGGCTAGGGAGACGGGAGGGGTGGCAGCTGGTGGGGCTGGGGTGCTCTTTGGCGGTGCGTGAGTGTGCTCAAATATTAATCCATGACAGTGATGACTGCACAGCTCTGAATGCACTAAAAACACTGAACTGTACACCTTCAATGGTGAACTGTATGCTGCATGATTTATTTCTCAATAAAACTGCTGTACAAAGTGTGTGCTGGGCGTGGAGGCGTCTGCTGCGAGCGCCGCAGAGAAAAACTAAACCCAGCTCCTCCCAGGCTCAAACTCAGGCACACACTGTCTTCATAAATCTTTGTCTGGCTGGGAGGATGGCTCACGCCTGTCATCCCAGTACTTTGGGAGGCCAAGGCGGGCGGATCACGAGGTCCGGAGTTCCAGACCAGCCTGGCCAGTATGGTGAAACCCCGTCTCTACCAAAAATACAAAAGTCAGCCAGGTATGGTGGCGCTCACCTGTAACCCCAGCTACTCGGGAGGCTGAGGCAGGAAAATCGCTTGAACCTGGGAGGCAAAGGTGGCAGTGAGCCAAGATCGTGCCACTGCATTCCAACCGGGTGACAGAGTGAGACCCCGTCTCAAAAGAAAACAAAACCCATAAAAACCTGTGTGCACTGTGAGCACAGTGAGGACAGAGTCTGCACTGTAAGAAGGTACAGGGTCAGTGGTTTGTCACAGGGAGGCCTGGTGAGGACTGACGGGCCAGGGACACTGCTCAGGGCAGCCTGGGCACAGGTGCCAGAAGGACTCAGGTCCCACCCACTCTGCAGTGACCAGAAACTTCCCCAGCACTGTCCTGGGGCCCTCGGCCACCGTCATCACTTCCTGCCACCAGGGTTAACACCCAACGAGGAACTTGTACTTTACATTTTCCTGGTATGAAAACCCCGTCTCCATTTTACAGAGAAAACCAGGCCTCTACCCGCTGGCTCTGTGGACACTGGGGCCCGATGGTTCTCTGGGGTGGGGCCGCCCCGGGCACTGCAGGGTCTGAGCAGCGTCCCTGGCCTCCACCTGCTCCATGCCAGGAGCACCCTCAGGTGTGGCAACCACAGATGTCCGTGGACATCACCCGGGGTTAAGATCAGATAGCCCAGGGTGAGACCGTGGCTCAGAAGATAATGGCTGACTCTATAGCAGCATTTCATGCCGCACAGCTTTTGGGTGGATCGGCTGGGGCTCAAACCCTGGACTCTGTGGGTGAACCCACTGCTCTTTCTGCCCCACAACTCACTAAACTCAGCAACTCTCAGGGACACGGGTAGCCGTCTGATCACAAACCCAGTGCCACATACCTCCTGAGCCAGGGCTGCTCCACCACGGGCCCCTCCACGGCCCTGCAGAGCCATTGGATGTTCCGAACCCAGGGGCAGCTGACCCGTCCTGGTTTTGCTGGGGTGGGGGGCACAGCCCCAGGGTGACCACGCAGGTCCCCGCCTGCTTGCTTCTTGTCTATTTTTAGAGACAGGTTCTCCATCTGCTGCCCAGGCTGGAGTGCAGCGGCAGGATCACGTTTCACACTTCAGCCTCGACATCCTAGCTCAAGGGATCCTCCCACCTCAGCCTCCTGAGTAGCCACCATACCTAGTTAATTGCTTTCTTTCTTTCTTTTTTTTTTTTTTTTTGTATTTTTTTGTAGAGACAGGGTCTCACTATATTGCCCAGGATGGTCTTGAACTCCTGGATTCAAGCGATCCTTCTGCCTCCACCTCTCAAGGTGCTGGGATCACAGGTGTGACCCACTGTGCCTGGCTGCCCGCCTACTTCCCAAGGAAGGAGCGATCCCGAAGACCAGCCTCAGACCCTCCTGGGAAGCGCCTGATTCAAAGAGGCCACCGCTGTGCTGGTGGTCCCCTGGGGGCTGGGCAGCCCGGGACACATCCACGCTGGGGCTGAGCTGGTGCGAGCTGGTTTTGGTGAGGAGGGAGACCTGTGGCCCTTTCCCAGTGACGGCTGAGGACCCTGGCGCCTGCCGCTGTGATGAGCTCTGCAAGCCAGCCACACCTGCCCGCAGGCCACACCCCTGCAGCTCAAGATCAATAAACCCCTTGGAAGGGAAAATGGCGGCCACTATGCGAGACGCTCCTCCACACTGGGAATCACCTCAGTCCCCACGCCTCCAGACGGGGCAAGTGCATTCCCCACCTTACCAAAGAGGGAACGACGCGGGGGTGTGGACCCCCATCCACCCAGACAGGCCCACGACTCCCCTCCCCATTTCCGTTTCACACCTGGGCTCCTCACTGACCTCGAAGCTGACTTTCCAACATCAACAGAAATCACAGCACAGAGAAAAACCCAACCCGCCACAGCCAGGAGCTGCCCTCTGTCCATTTCAGCGCCTCCCAGGCCGATCTGGGGGCTTAGCTTGCAGCCACGCCGCCTGGATGGGCAGGCGGGGCCTTCTAGCCGCAGTATTGCGCTCAGGGCTGACTGCAGCTGAGGGAGGAGACCCCCACCTGGGCTGAGCCTCGGGGAGAAGGCGGCTGTTCCCACAGGCTTCCGCTGGTCTTTTTAAAACTTTTTGTAGAGACGGTATTTCGGGTGTGAGCCACTGAGCCTGGCTGAGGCTTATCTTTTCCTATAGCCCTTTAGAAGCCTGTCTACCAGACTCATGCCAGGACAGTTCCAGAAAACAAGAGAGCAGCCCAAGGGGTTGGTACACTTCCTCCTGGCATTTCTGTCTCCTTTCAGAAGGGGAGGGGGGCCGGGCACAGCGGCTCACACCTGGGATCCCTACACTTTGGGAGGATGAGGCGGGAGGCTCACTTGAGGTCAGGAGTTCGAGACCATCCTGGCTAACATGGTGAAACCACATCTCTACTAAAAATACAAAAAGATAGCTGGGTGTGGTGGTGGATGCCTATAATCCCAGCTACTTGGAAGGCTGAGGGAGGAGAATCTCTTGAACCCGGGGAGGCGGACATTGCCATGAGCTGAGATCATGTCACTGCATTTCAGAGTTAGACTCCATCTCGAAAAAAAAAAAAAAAAAGGTGGAGGATTTTAAGTGGAAGGAAACATTTTCTGAAGAACCTTGCGGACGGGCAGAGCTCCCGTCACAAGCAAACGGTTTTCTCTTTCCTTTTTCTTTTCTTTTTTTTTGAGACGGAGTTTCGCTCTTGTTACCCAGGCTGGAGTGCTATGGCGCGATCTCAGCTCACCGCAACCTCCGCCTCCTGGGTTCAGGCAATTCTGCCTCAGCCTCCTGAGTAGCTAGGATTACAGGCGCGTGCTACCATACCCAGCTAATGTTTTGTATTTTTAGTAGAGACGGGGTTTCACCATGTTGACCAGGATGGTCTCGATCTCTTGACCTTGTGATCCACCCGCCTCGGCCTCCCAAAGTGCTGGGATTACAGGCTTGAGCCACCGCGCCCGGCCTTTTTTTTTTTTTTTTTTTTTTTTTTTTTTTTTTTTTTGAGACAGGGTCTTGCTCTGTCGCCCAGGGTGGAGTGCAGTGGCATCATCATAGCTCAATGCAACCCTGATCCCCTGGGCTCAAGCCATCCTCCCTCCCTCGCCTCCGAGTAGAGGGACCGAAGATGTAGGCCACCACACTAAGCTCATTTTTTTTCTTTTGAGACAGTATCTTGCACTGTGGCCCAGGCTGGAGTGCAGTGGCGCGATCTTGGCTCACTGCAACCTCTGTCTCCTGGGTTCAAGGCATTCTTCTGGCTTAGCCTTCCGAGTAGCTGAGTTTACAGGCACATGCCACTACGCCTGGCTAATTTTTGCATTTTTAGCAGAAATGGGGTTTCACCATACTGGCCAGGCTGGTCTTGAACTCCTAACCTCATGATCTGCCTGCCTTGAGCTCCCAAATTGCTGGGATTACAGGTGTGAACCACCACACCCGGCCTAATTTTTTACGAGTAGAGACACGGGTTTCGCCATGTTGCCCAGGCTGCTCTCAAATTCCTGGCCTCACGCAATCCTTCTGTCTCAGCCTTCCGGAGCGCTGGGATGACAGACGTGAGCCACCGCGCCCGGCCCGAGTACACCGTTTTCTATCAGGAAGAAACACAGGCTCCTCGGCGGAGGGACGATCGATCAACCACAGAAAGGGTCTTTTCCAAGGAAAGGCCGGAGCAGCCTCGGGACCCTGACCCCACCCTTACTGTCCCCGGAGGCCGGGACTGGTTACCGTGTCGGGGGCTCCCTCCGCTCAGCTCTTCTCCGATTCCTCCAGTGGACAGTGTGGGGAACACAAGGCGGGAACCAGCTCTCAGAACTCAATGCCAAGGCCTTCTCGGCTTCCCCGGGTCTTCCCCGGGACGAGACCCAAGTGACTCTTGGAAACTTCTAGAGAAATGAAAGGTGAGACAACAAATTCCCCTGCCGCAACACCCCTATCCTTTTTTTTTTTTTTTTTTTTTACACAACACAGTTTCTCTAAGCAACCAGCTGGTATGACCCCTCCCCCACTGAGGTGCCGCAGCTCAAGGCCCACAGTCACCCACTTCCTTCCGGAGGCTTCCACATCCTGCCACTGCCTCAGGGACCGCTGCCCCAGAGCATGGGAGGAGCCGGAGAGACAAGCCCTGAGCAGAGGCGTCAGTTCCCGATGCTCTAGGTCAGTGCGCAACACTGGCTCCCGGCCTGGCAGCCCTGATATTTGGCTGGAAGACGCTCCCAGCTCAGAATCTGTCCTGGGAGCGGCGTCCCAGAGCCACCTTCCAAAACCTGAGTATTCATTTAAGTTTTACTTTTATTTATTCATTTTGAGACAGAGTTTTGCTCTTGTTGCCCAGGCTGGAGTGCAATGGAGTGATCTCGGCTCACTGCAGCCTCCCACTCCTCGGTGCAAGGGATTCTCCTACCTCAGCCTCCCAAGTAGCTGGGATTACAGTCATGCACCACCACACCTGGCTAAATTTTTTTTGTATTTTCAGTAGAGATGGGGTTTCTCTATGTTGGTCAGGTTGATCCCAAACTCCCGACCTCAGGTGATCTTCCTGCCTCAGCCTCCCAAAGTGCTGGGATTACAGGCTTGAACCACCGCGCCTGGCCGTATTTATTTTTTTTTTATTTTTTATTTTTGAGACGGAGTTTCGCTCTTGTTACCCAGGCTGGAGTGCAATGGCGCGATCTCGGCTCACCGCAACCTCCGCCTCCTGGGCTCAGGCAATTCTCCTGTCTCAGCCTCCTGAGTAGCTGGGATTACAGGCACGTGCCACCATGCCCAGCTAATTTTTTGTATTTTTAGTAGAGACGGGGTTTCACCATGTTGACCAGGATGGTCTCAATCTCTTGACCTCATGATCCACCCACCTCAGGCTCCCAAAGTGCTGGGATTACAGGCGTGAGCCACCGCGCCCGGCTGATTTTCACCTTTTAAATTGTAGAGTTATGTGGCTCCTGGCGTGTTTGGAGTTGTGCAAACACCACCTTCATCTAATTCCAGAACACTCTCATCACCACTAAAAAAAAAAAAAAAACCCTGTCCAGGCGCAGTGGCTCATGCCTGTAATCCCAGCACTTTGGGAGGCCAAGGCAGGAGGATTGCTTGAGGTTAAGAGCTCAAGACCAGCCTGGGCAACCTAGTGAGACCCCGTCTCTGCACAGAATACTTAGAAAGTAGCCGGGCAGGGCGGATGCGCCTGTACACTCCCAGCTTCTCAGGAGGCTGAGGTGGGAGAATCACTTGCGCCCAGGAGGTCGAGGCTATGGTGAGCTATGATTGTGCCACTGCACTCCAGCCTGGGGGACAAGGCGAGACTCTATCTCAAAACAAAAGGAAACAAAACGAAACTAAGATCGTGTCACCTAGGGGAGTTACAGTGACGAGATGTGACGGGTGCCTGTGGGGTGCTTGCTTCAGAGGACCCAACCCAGGTTTCAAAAGACAAGAGCCCAAGTGTCAGGAAGAGGAAGCCACAGGAAGGAATGCCCCAAGCGCCCATCAAACTCAGGCTGCCCTCCTTCCACGGGGCTTTCACTGCCGGGGGCCACAGGGTGGGGGCTTGACTCGGTACCACCTTCTTGGCCTCCTGGACTGCTTCAGTCTGAGTGAGGAGGCAGAAGCCATGCTCTGAGCCCACCCAGTGGGAGCCTGGCCCCCCACCTCACCGTCTCGCCTCCTCGTGGCCGCTGTGAAGAGCTCCCAGCCACACTCAGCTGCAGCAGGGGGCTCCCTTGAGGGGTGGTTCTGCACCCTGGGGGACACCAGGTGATGTCTGGGGGCATTTGTGGTTGTCATGACTGGGTGATGCTCCTGGCACAGAGTGGGTGGTGGCCAGAAATGCTGCTTCGTGCCCTGCAGTGCCCAGGACACCCCACCCCAGAGAACGATCTGCCTGGAATGTCTGCAGTGCCAAGGGAGAAGCCTGTCCTGGGAGCGGCAGAGCCAGGGATCTAACTGTTCCGTTTTGTGTGTGTGTGTGTGTGTTTTGTTTTTTTTTTGAGACAGAGTTTCACTCTTGTTACCCAGGCTGGAGTGCAATGGCACGATCTCGGCTCACCGCAACCTCCACCTCCTGGGTTCAGGCAATTCTTCTGCCTCAGCCTCCCAAGTAGCTGGGATTACAGGCACGCGCCACCATGCCCAGCTAATTTTTTGTATTTTTAGTAGAGACGGGGTTTCACCATGTTGACCAGGATGGTCTCGATCTCTTGACCTCGTGATCCACCCGCCTCGGCCTCCCAAAGTACTGGGATTACAGGCTTGAGCCACCGTGCCCGGCATTTTTTTTTTTTTTTTTTTTTTTTGAGATGGAGTCTCGCTCTGTCTCCCAGGCTGGAGTGCAGTGGCACCATCATAGCCCACTCCAGCCTCAACCTCCCGGGCTCAAGCAATCTTCCCACCTCAGCCTCCTGAGTAGCTGGGACTACTGGTGTGCACCAGCACGCCCAGCTAATTTTTGTATTTTTTGCAGAGACAGGGTCTTGCTCTGTTGACCAGGCTAGTCTTGAACTCCTAACCTCAAGCAATCCTCCCACCTTGGCCTCCCAAAGTGCTGGGATTACAGACGTGAGCCACTGAGCACAGCTCTGTCTCCCTCTTTAATGAGTAATTTTTATTTTTATTTTATTTTATTATTATTTTTTGGGACAGAGTTTCGCTCTTTTTACCCAGGCTGGAGTGCAATGGCGTGATCTCGGCTCACTGCAACCTCTGTCTTCTGGGTTCAAGCAATTCTCCTGCCTCAGCCTCCCGAGTAGTTAGGATTACAGGCGTGAGCCACTGCGCCCGGCCTATGACTAATTTTTAGAACTTGTCAACTGCATCACTAGTTAGTAGACAGTGACTGTTGCTTTCAGAGGTGTAGACGTGCATCTGGCTGTCCGTGCTTCTCTCGCTTTCTGGGGACCACTCCCCTACGCACTCATAAACCAGCCCCACTGGGGATCACGCCCCCAGTCCCGCGAGGCTTGCAGCGTGGGTTGAAAGTGGATGCTCCTGTTCCTACTCAGTGATCGGGGCTTCACTAGTAAACAAGCCTGACATCTGCCAGCCCCGGAGGACATGCTTGTGTGAAACTCATCATTTCCCGGCCAGGGGAGGGGCTCACCGCCCTGCCCGTCCAGAAGCTGAGGCCAGCTGCCTCACCTGGGGGTACGTGGTGAAAGGTACGAGTCTGGGCTTGAACTCACATCCTGCGGTTCCAAATCTAGTGTGTCTGCCACTAGGGCAAGGTTTCCATTCTCTGCACAGTGGACACCGGGGTGGGTCACTCTCCGGGGAGGGGCCGTCCTGGGCACTGCAGGGTGCTGAGCTGCCTCCCTGGCCTCCACCCACCGAATGCTGGGAGCACCCCCAGTTGTGAGAAAAACACAAAGGTCCGAGACTTGGCCCAGTGTCCTCTGGGGACAGAATCACCCTCGATGGACACCCCTTGGTTTAGGGATTTCACAGACACCCAAGAGACTCTGCGTCCCATGATCCTCTGCTCTGCTGAGGTCCCAGGAGGCTACTGAAATCCACACCCTGAGTGGGGACGGGAGAGGAGAATCCCAGGAACTGGGATACCCCTGGTTCACGCCGTCTGCTGCGTCGGGAGTGTGTTCTGGTGTCTGGTATGAGCAGGAAGCAGACTTGATTTCTTTTTCCAAATAATTACTGCAGTCTCCCCCTTAGCATTCAGGGCCAGATCATTTTCTGGGGTGAGTTTGTCCTGAGCATTGCAGGTGCTGGGCGGTGTCCCTGGCCTCCATCCACTCCATGCCAGGGGAGGGGCACCCCCGCCTTGAGTTGTGACAAACACAAGTCCCCGCCAACATTTCCAAGTCCCCTGGGGGCAAAACTGCCCTGTGGGAAGACCCCAGCTAGACTGGCAGCTTCCCCTCTGCTAAACAAGGGACTCCACCAAGGGAATTCTGGGGACCTGACAACTAACACATCTCAGCCCAGCCATGGCTGCATCCCCAGAGCTCCTCAGCTTCAGGGCGCTTCTGAAACCAATAGGCACAGCTGGCAGAGTTGGCACTGTGACTCAGGCTGTCTTGATTCTCCAGGGCACTTGGGGCCTGGCTCCCCACCCAGATGTCCCAGCTCAGCCCATACCTTTGTCCCCAGAGGGGACTGTCCATGCTTTGAGTGGCTCATACCCGTGACCACTTCCTTTTTCTTTCCAATCGCCTCATGGCCCAGAGGCCATAGGGGGCTGAGTCAGGGCTAGACCACCCTGCCCCCTGCCCCCAACCCCGACAGGCCTGAATACGGTGATGACTCTGCCCCTCAACACCAGGCAATGTCTGGGGACACTGGTGGTTGTCAGGTTGTGAGGGGATCTCCCGGCAGGGAGTAAGTGGAGGCCAGGGACACTGCTCAGCACCCTGCAGTGCCCATGACACTCCACCCCAGAGAATGACTGAGCCCTGAATGTCCATAGTACCTAGCCCCACACAGGGAGACCCTGGCCCCAGCCCCACACGGGAAGTCACTAACAACTTCCTCCTTCCCTGTGAGACGTGCAGTCGATGAAATGTGACATTAAAGGTAGCCGCGATGAAAATACATGCATGATATTAACATACTAATAAGCTAAAGATAGACTCTGCAGCAAAACAAGAAGACCCAAGAGGAAAAACACCCACCACTTGTGGGGAAGAAAAGGTGAGAGAAACGTACGTGAAATTGACCCCGGTAGTAGGTAGTAAGTAGCCCCACAGCCAAGATTCCAGGGCCCTCTACAGGCCAGATCTGGAGAACAGGCGCTTCCTGCAAAATCATCCCAAGCCCATCTGGCTAGAAAAAAAGCCTGAAACTTGAGCCAAAGCCCGTCAACCCAGGGGAGACTTCTCATCCCCACGTCATCCAGGGCGGTCCAGCCACACGGTTTCAAGAAGAATGAGACACAGGCTCTGGTGCGGAGGGACACCCAATATCCGCTAAGTGCAGAGTAAGTTGCAAAACAGTATGGATACTGAGAACTTTTTTGTTCAAGAAAGAATAATAAATGGGTACAACCGTGAAAAAACAATAAGGAACTATTGTCTCTGGAAGCAAGTTTTTTTCTGCTGTTTGTCTGTCTTGAGACAAGGTCTCGCTCTGTCACCCAGGCTGGAGTGCAGTGGTACAATCACAGCTCACTGCAGCCTCCACCTCTCGGGCTCAAACCATCCTCCCACCTCAGCCTCCCCAGTAGCTGGGACCACAGGCGCATGCCACTATGCCCAGCTAATTTGTGTATTTTTGGTAGAGATGGGGCCTTACTATGTTGCCCACGCTG